TGGCAGCTGGCGTGTGGCAGGCCTGCTCCTGACCCTCAGGACCTGCTCCTGACCCGTGGGACCGCTGCTGCCCGCAGCCGCCCCAGCGATGCTGGTGAGGGAAGGAAAGCGAAAGCTGCCACGGCAGAGCTGAGGCAATTGCCCCATGACTCACCGGGCATCCAGCGGTGCCAACGTAGGAAAACGTCAGGCCGGGGCGGGCACAAAGGCTCGGGCCATGAGCTCAGCCTGGGGAGTGATGACGAGATAGGATCACTTCGTCATCACCGTGGTGCAGGTGACCTCGAGTAGCAAAAATTTGGCTCCAGAGCTGCTCTAGATGCCCCTCCTCAGGGAGCAGGGACTGTGAGGGACACAAGCAGGGTCTCACCTGCAGAGAGCAGCCACGCAGAGCCATTCCATGGCACACTTGGGATCAAAGACCTGGACACAGTGTCTGGGTCGGAGGACAGCGACGCTGCAACATGCAGCTGGCACAAGCGTGTGGTGTGTTCCTGGGCACTTCTTCTTCCCCAGGGCCCTGGGAAGCGCAGCGGGGATGTGCAGGGCCTGGGGGCTGCGGGGTTGCTCCTGTGACTAGGCCCTGCTGGGGATGGGGACCCTGTCAGTCTGGGCCAGCAGCCCTCGTGCAGGCCAGGCTGCTTCCCATGGAGGAATCCTGGGCAGGGAGGGACCTCTAGTGCTCCCGCAGGAGATGACAAACCAGCTGCATCTCCACCTGCGAGGGCATCTGCCCCACAACCCTCCTAATACCTGACCTCCTGCGTGTTGCTGTGACCAGGGGGCACAGGCTGCTCAGCCCCCAGGTCATGGCTGGCCCCCAACTCCTCTTTGCCCAGGGTAAGAAACCCGGATCCCTTAGAGGATCGTGACTCGGTAACTCCCATTCTGGTGTCTTTGATAAAGCAACAAGCTAATCTGCTCCGGAGGTGAGCACAGAGCTCTGGCTGCCCTCTCCACAGCAGCCTTCTCTGCTGGGGCAGGAACTACGGGAATGGGAGGCGCACCTGCAAGGGCTTGGCGTCCTGCAAGGCTCCGGAAAGCAAACAGGAGGCGACCCGTGCCAGTTTGTTCCCTGCTTTGGAGCGCTCCATCCACCTCTGTTTGCTCCTCGCTGCCATGCGGCCATTATCGCGGCCTCGCGGTGTGGCTGGGCGCTCTGCAAGCGCAAACACAGCTCCATAGAGCTCTCCCCACCCAGGAGAGAGGCCAGGAGGGCACAGAGTAGCCCGTCCTGCACCTACCCAGCCTGACACATTCACACCTGGGACCTTCTGTAGAGCTGCAGCGCGCTGGGGAAAGGGGGGTAGCCTAAATTCCTCTGGAGATCGGCCAGCCTGGGGCTTGTCCTCTCTCTGCAGGGAGGCACCTCGTGCTTGGGAAGCAAACGGGCACTGAGCACGGAGGTGCCGGGGTGAATGATGACCATGAAGCCCGCTTAGTCTCAGCCCAGAAGGTGCTCCCCAGCCTCTGCTAAAAAGGAACCAAAACCACAGCTTTATTTGTAAACATTTTGCTTTAATTATTGTGCAAGAAAATAAGCAAGATTCTCCGCTGTGTCAGTAATGCTCATCCCCAGCGCAGGCCGACAGCTGCAGTTGGAAACTGGTTGCTCCCCGTAGCAGCGCTGGGTAGGACAAGGCTGTCTCCTTGGGCAGGCACCACAGAAAGGCTGTTATGGACTAAGAGCAGACATGAAACCATGGCTGCTTTCCACAGAAGATAAGAACTTTATCACCAAAGAAAATTAAAAAAAGAATCACTATCAATCTTTCCAAGGAATATGAGTGGTTACAAAGAGGATAGTAGGAGATCCACATTTTTTCTCCTTCAATCAGCCGAAGAGTTTTCCTTTCACGGTCCCTTGCACCCTAGGACGCAGACGTGCCTTACCCAGAACTCCAGCTGGGTTTCCCGAGAGGAAACTCCCATCGTGTCCAGGAACCTGAAACAAGAAACAGGACGGGACTCCCTGTGTCCAGGCAGACCCCGCTGCCACAGGACCTGGGGTGACATCCACAGCCAGGATAGCCCTGCTCTGCGCAAAACTCCTCCAAAGCACCAGGAGTTTCATCCCAGATGCAGGACGCATCTAACAGCCTATGCACAAGGGTTGTTCTGCTCCGGGAAGACACTCCACGTGCCCTGGGGATGGCTGCTCTTCCCTTGCTCACTTTGTAGAGTATCCTTGTCATGGGCCAAAATGGCACCACATCAGGTACTGATGTAATCTACCTTTTTTTTTTTTTTTTTTTGTTAATCAAAAGTTGAGCTGAGAAGCTTAACTAAAAGACCTGCGATATGAAACTGAACTGCTGCACCGTGCAGGTGCATGGGCCAGCCTGACTGACTTAAACTGAGCTTTGAAGTGCTGCGAGCAGCTGATGCTTAAAGTCTCTGCCAAATATCCATCCAGAATGGAGGGGAAGGAGCAAGCACCTTGCTGTAATGGCCACTTCTAGCTCCAAAGGTCTCACTGTGGCCTCTCTACTCAGTGCATGAGGGACTCTTCCATATCCTGCTTACTTTCCTAAGCAATTTTTACCTCTTTTCAGTTTCTTGGAGGAGTGTTTTTGCAGCTTGAGGGTCATGCTTCATGTAGGTTTGAAATGGAGAGACAGACTCCAAGTAACCAACCACACCAGCAACCGTCATGGGAATTTTATCGAAGATATCAGTGATTCTAGACAGAAGCAGGGGAAGAAAGGAGCATTGGCAAATTAGACCCAAAAGGCAGCTGACCAAGGACCACCGCAAACTGAGTGACTGAAGACCCACGACATCAGATGTTTCCTCCTCTTGGAGCTTTACTCATTATGGTGTTTGGTGGGTCAGGTGCTGTCATGGATAAACTGCTGGAAAAGCTGTGTCTTGGGTACCATTTAACGTACAGTCTGGTCACCCAGACCCATTCCCACCCCCCTTTGCTAATGTGTCTCCTCCTTGCCTCTTCCCTCCTCCTCCTTTCCCCTCGGTGCTTCGCCCACAACTTCCTCCTCACCTCCTCTTGTCTCGGAATGGCAATGCCTCAAATATCTCTTCATAGTTCTCCAAGACGTGCTTTATTCTACCGTGCGAGTACTTAAAAATCAGATCCTTGACCTGGAGAGAGAGACAGAGAGAGGAGATTTAAAACAAAACCACTTACAGCTCTCAGCCTCCACTGTAATTCAGGCTTTCTTGGCCCTAATGCCTGAGGTACACACACAAACTTTATTATCATAATTTTATATTCCCTGTTTTTAAAGTTCACCACACATGTGCAGTATCAAGATTTCAGGATACCATTTTATAGGCTTCTGTCCTCCTCCCTCCACCATTACTTATAACAGAAAGTTGCTTTCTAATGAGTTGCTAAAACATTATTGGTCTCTTGCTCTTAAAAGAGCCTGTATTTCACATTACTTTCATGGTCATCAGACCTTGCAGTGAAACCAAAGCCAAGGCGCATGCAGAGCTGGCAGCCCCATCCTCAGTCCCGAGCAGGATCAAAGCAAGAAGCAGATGGATGGAGCACCTGCTCTTCCTAAGTGTCTGCCCCTGAGCCCATTGCTCCTCCTGCCTGCAGCAGCTGCCCAGCTCTGGGGTTGGGGTCTCGCTGCCTCACCTCTTCGAAGATCTGGGTCAGCTTTTCGGAGCAGTTTCCGTAGTGCAGCCTCATGTCCACGGTGTAGGTGCTGAGGGCTACGCAACCGTGCGGCTTCACAACGCGCACGACTTCTTTCATGAACTTCTCGATGTCAAACCAGTGCGCGGCTGTGAATGAGGTGAGGAGGTCCACGGAGCCATCCTCGAACGGCAGCTCCTCGGCAGGGCACACGCTGGGGACGGGTGGGGGGAAGCAGTGTTTAATACTTCAATTAGTGAGCAGAATATGGAGCCAGCGGCAATTTCTAGCTTGACACAACTCTCCGCTGTGAGACCCCAAGGGGCAGGACTGTCAATCTTGGATAATTCCTTTTCCACCCCCACCTTGCCTGGGCAGAGGTAGGACACCCTCTCCATGAGATGTGTATGGAGAGGGCTCTGTTCTGAAGGGATTTCCATTGGCAGCCCCAGCCCGCCCCACAAAACACCACCTCTGCATGAGGAGCCGAGGTTTCCGTGTGCAACACTCACAGGTAGGACAAGTTTGGAGGGCAGGGCGCGTCTCTGCCCTCCTGGATCTGAGCTTCGCTGATGTCCGTTCCCACCACCTTCTTGAAATGCTCCGCCAGGAAGAGGGTGCCTTGTCCCGACCCGCAGCCCACGTCCACTACCAGCTCCGTGGGGCTGGTCCTCTGACGGAAGGAGCAGACGCGTCTCAGCAGCCAGCTAATTTCACCCCATAGGTGAGACCAACTTCCAGCCCTCTCCTTCCCCTCCCCGCGCAGGGGAATGATCTAGTTATAGGATATCCCACCGGAATGCTCTTGGCTGCCCATGTCACCGTCACGGTGTCCCACTGAATCCTTGCTCCCCGCGCTAATGCCCAGGCCAGCATCCCCAGCAGAGATGGAACCTCCTCTCCCCGCCAGGCCCGGGGCACCTCTTACCTTCTCCTCCACGTAGGAGAGGATGAGCTGCTGCAGCTCCTTGCCGGGAGCGAAGCGGTATTTCTGGTAGACCGCGGCGTGTCCTTTCCCTTCAAAGAGCTGCGTGGCCATCGCGGCGCGGGCGTCTGCCGGGAGGAAGCGCCGCCTTCATCCGCTGGCTCCCTCCTGCGGGCAGCCTCGCGTGCGAGCGGCTCGGCCACGGGAAGACTTGGCATGAGCTGCGGACTTTGCATCCCGGCCCTTCCCAGCAGAAGCAGAGCAGGAAGAGCTCGGAGAAGGAAAAGCTTTCTAGGGTTTTAAACACTTCCTCTTTAGTTCTTTTTTTTTTCCCCCTTTGGACGTAGGAGACTAAGTAAAATGAAATAAAAATATCCATCGCACCTGGGATACCTGTGACTTTGTGGGACCTGCCAGAGTAGGGAGGAAAAACAAAACTAAAGCCCCTAAACTCACAGCAGAGAAAAGAAATGTTTTTAGCTCCTTCATGTTTTAGTACTAGCAGAATTTCTCCTCGTCGCACCAATACCACCCCTCTGCCTTTCTAACCTCTGATGCTCCTCCCTTTATTTATGGATTTAATCCCTAAAAAACCCATGGTCCAACCGGGCACAGGTCCATCAAGCTCACAGCAGCCAGCAGCTCCTGGTATCTCTCTTTAATAAGATAATACCTTCCAGTGGAAGCCTCTCTGTGTCCCGGTTATCCCAGCGAGCAAGCAGGAATTTTCCGTGACAGCAGCAGCTCCGGGATCTGAAAAATCTCCCGGAAATATTCCCCGATGTGTTTCAGAGTCTCTGCACGCACAGCGAGCAGGCTGGATAACAGGACACTGCCCTCAGAAAGTGTCTCGAAGGACACAAAAATAGGCAATACCAGCTAATAAAGGGGCACGTCCAGCGCTGCGGGAGCCGATGCCGGAATGGGAAGCGAGTAACACAGCTTGGGAATCAGCCGCCCCGGGGCCCTCCCCCAGCCCGGGCGCCACTCAGGAAGCGCCGCAGGGCCCGGAAGGGAGAGGCCAAGAGCAAAGGCCGCCTCCGGCGGTGTCCGGCCACAGCTCCGCTGCCGCCAAGGCCGCTCGGGCCGCCTCGCACGCGAGCACCGCGCTGCGCCATCCACTTATACCTTATATACACAAAAACACAGTGTGAAAATTCAGATCCTCTTGGTGCAAAGAAGGGTTAAGGCACAGGAGGCGGCATCCTCCGGAATACACACAGCTTCCTGCGCTCAACCAGCAAACTGCTCCCTCTAGAGCAGCAGCGAGGCTGCGCTCGCGGAGGCCGCCCGGCCGGCGGCACTGCTGGCGCTGAGGTTGGGACTCCAGCACCAGCTTACTGAAACGTGAGGCCACCCCGCACAAAAGGGGAGCACAAGCAGCACTGATATTTCAGGAATTAGGTGAAGATCCTCCCCTGAGAGGAGTCACTGGGGTGATGCTTCTCTGCGACTCACCTGTGTTGTGCCCTCACCTCCCGGCACCTGTGAAGCGGCGCTGAGGAGCGAGGATCCGTCAGCGCTTTCCTCTGGGCCACCTGCTGCAGAGCAGCTCGGCAAAGAGCCCCGAGCATCCTGCAAAATCCCCCCATCGCGGGTTTATGCCAGGGAAAAATGACTCTCCCTTTTGACCACCTGGGTGTCTCAGTGTGAGGACTGTGTGATCTCCCTGCTGTTACCTGATTTTTCAGGTTTCCCTGCTCTTCCCTGCATGTTCCTCCCAATAGGAGCAGCAAGAACTGAGTCTTCAGAGCTCAACAGGTGACCCTAGTTGAATTGTGCCTCACAAGAAATCATATTTATTTTCAAAAATGGATCTACAGCCCAGAGTAAGAATGGGCTCCTCCAGCTCAAACTTGATCCTAACCCCTATCTTGATCCTAACCCTAGTTATATCTAAAGCCTCTGTAAGTCCCAAGAAAACCTGAGAGAAAGCTTAGCCTTGATTACAGCAGGGAAGGCATCTCTACACTAAGAGAAAATACAGAAGACCACCGTGTCCTCGTGATGCTCCCTGTTTTTTCAGAACCCAGCAAGCCTTCAGCTTCCCTGGATTCCATATTCCCTAATTTTAACTGCTTCCCTGTGAGC